CCTTTTATACAATCGTCTAGAAATAGAAAAATGGAGTAGTTCATATGTTGTAACGAGACATAATTGATATACTGTCTTTGATAAAATATCAACAACATCTGTCACGGTCTGTCGATTCCGTCTGTCATGGTGATTGGAGGATGCAAATTTCTATCCTATATACTTAAACACTTCTTCTAGATCATATTTAACAGAATTAATCAGATGCATAGAAACATATTATTGAGAGTGTTGAATAGCTTTTGTAGAGATATATTAGTCGTTTGACATGTTATAGAATAGATAGATGAAATATCATATAAAAACAAATATTGTTATAAGATAAATAAATAAATAATATGAAAAGATTATTTCGAAGTATTTCATTAAAAAAAAGTAATCATAATCTGTGTTATATATAAATGAGAGTTTGAAAATGTGATGACTATCATATCGTTAAAATGATGAAAAATGACACGTTGTTTTTTCATATTTCAATAGAAAAAGGATTCATAAAATTAGTTTGAAATTGAAGAAGCCGTACCCAAACAGAGATGCATATTAATCTTTGCACAGAACTGATCAAAAAAAAATTCGACTTCATTTTTAATGTTGTTTGCTTCCATTTTACAACTTTTTGGCATCAAAATTTTTAATGTCGAAAGACAGTATGTAGGTAAGATTGAACAGAGAATCTAATACTCATACAAGAGAAGAGTAACTGCGGGATGAAGGTGTCGGTGTGAAGTGACGAATATCAAGTTTTGTTCAGTCTCATTCATACTTTCACCAACTTTTATATATTCTTTGAAGACTTTTTTAGTGACAGGTTGACACATTTAGAATGGAATATGTCAGAATTAGTATCATTTCAGTGGGCACAAAATTCAGTAGAAAACCGTTAAGGGTTTATGTCAAATAGAAGAGTAAACTACTAGGAATTCTATTTATGATATTTCTAGATTTTTCAAGATGTTTTCTTAGGTGATAATTAGAAATTTTCTTGAATAAATAATTTTAAAAATAATTTCAATAAATGATTGATTTAATATTTGCTATTAAGAATGCATAATTCATAGTATAACGAAAATATCCGTAATATTAATAATAAAAAAAAACAAAAAATATACTCAAATCAAGTATAATCCATTGATTGTTAATACTAATCAATAACTAATTTTACTGATCGACAGTGAAGAGTATTATTCACTTGAATAACTTCAGATTGAGTATTCGTCGAAACGATAAGACATTTTATTTTTTCTAAACGTCTATGGAACTGAATTTAATATAAGTAGAAGAAAAAATGTTCAGTAGCAATAACATAAAAATGAAAGATTAACAACTGTCAAACATGAAATATAAATTTTTGTGTTTGTGTTCTCATGTTGTCTTATAACAACAAAATATACTACTCATTTTTAAAGGTTTCTTCTTTTTTGAGTAATCAAAATTTTAAAAAAGGAAATATTTCAGAAAAAAAAAATTATTATTGATTATTGAAATCCTCTTTCCATTCCACTTTTGAAATTTTTCTCAAACCATCAACATTCCTAAGCCAATTAGGATTTTCAAGCAGAAAATTTTTATTGATTTAAATTCAATTGAATAACATTGTGAAAATTTTTGTCATCGACTAACTTGACATTGAAAAATGGAACTATGTCAAATACAGAGGAATATTCTAAATGTTTAATGTTCTCTCAATATGATTATATCAGCTGTTCCTTCACATATGGACCATTAGAAACAGTATTTAAGGTTTCATCAATATTGTTACTTCGAAACTTTTAAGACATATTTTATTTATAAGAAAAAAAAAACGAAAGCTGATTTAAAAGAATACTTAGAAACAAAATTGATGTATTATGCTTGTAGAATGTCGCATCTAGAAATTCGTTGTTCCTACTTAAAAGAAATCGATAACATGAACTTTTTTAGAATATTGTATTACATAAACAAACAAATTTCTTTATTGTTAATACGATTTAATTCTATGTTAAAGTTTACTTGATAATAGAAATATGTTTAGATTGTTTTTACTATATATCTGTATAAGCAATAGTGTAAGTTGACTATATTTATATTGTTCAATAGAATATATATATTTCGATAATATTTATTTTCTTTTTTTACTTCTAAGACAGGAACATTGAATCATTGGTAAAAATTCAATAGTTAAATAAATGTCAATAAACCATTTGTTTATAGAATGCATATTTTCGATATATATTTGTTTTTTAGCTCGGAGATATGAGAACATTGAATGATTGATAAAAGTTTTTGAAAAAATGTTCTCGTTTTTTTTTTTAAGTATTTATTTAGACGAACAGGGAGTTGATATTGATGGGATTTTAAAAAGCAGGATGAATTGCGTCACATGTGTGTCTTATAATTATGGATGTTACCAGTGGCTGCGCGAAGGGTCCAGGATTGTGGGGAGGTGTAAGTATCTCAAGAATTTTTGACACTAGTGCACATAGAAAAATCGCCTGCCGACTACTAGGAGGGCATTTGAGGTACAAACGTAGAGGAAGAGTCAACATTTTCTGCCATCAGTGTAAAAATTGTTTTCTGTCATCTTTCCCATGCACGAATTTTTCAAGTGCCGCGTAACGACAATTTTTTTTACTCGCGGAAAAGCAATATTTTCTGACGAGAAAATGGCTTTCCTAAAACCATCAATTCAGCATTTGTTTCAGAAGAACATGCTGCCGAAGGCAATAGTTTTTTGGAGCTGTATTAAATAGAGAATCCTACAGAATGTGTAATTTATTGAAATAAGAAGTCAGTTTTACAAGCAATAGAAGAAGAAATGTTTTTATTTTGTATATTCATCTGCCGAAGGTGGTTTCACTTTCAGCTACTATTTATCTTGAACTATGAATAAGAATTTGAAGACGTGTGTCATACTGGAAGTCACAATGAAAAGGAATTATTCAATCGAAAACTTACTAGCATAACCTAATTCGCGAAGCGAAATGTTTTTTCCGACGGCCTATACTCCAGGTGTTAAAAAGTCACCTCATATTTTGTCATAGCTAAAAAGTCGAAAATTTTCAATTATTGGGGTAAGGGTGCACACTCCCCAACACCTCTGTTATGTTCGAAGTGTTCCCCTTCGAACATAAGACAGAACGAAATGAATAATGAGTACTCCTTTCTAGTACAGTGGTTAATACGACTGCCCGGGAAGCAGGAGATGCATGGTTCGATTCCATGCGAAGGGAGATTATTCTTTTGTTCCGTTCTGTGGTCATACCATCACGTTGCTATCTCGGTGATATCAGAGTATAATATGAGAATACGAGCAATAAAGAAAAGAAATAAGACATAACAATCTTCTCTTCATCCGTAGCGAAATCCATGCGAGGAAGTATTCTAGCAAACTACTATCCTTGGCCTGCATAATTATTCTTGATAAATTTTTTGGTTAAAATTTTTTGATAATACAGTAAAAGAGAAAGTCTAGAGAAAACATTAAAATATTTTATTTTTGTTGTTTAATGTGACTTTATTTTGTAATTCTTGTCTAAATCAATTTGTTTACCTTGTTTATAAAGCTTTGTTCTTATTACAAACTTTTTTTAAGAAATTTTGTTTTTTGAAAATTGGTTCAGGGATTTCAAACTCAACTGTAACAGATAATATTTATTTAAAAGGTCATTCGTTATTTATGATAATGAATACTTTGAATTATTGAAATGATCTATAATAAAGAAAAGCATCAATAGTACAGTCTACGCAAAAAATTCTGGGACACTCAAGAATGGCTCTCCAAAATCTCATCTTTCATTTGAAATAAACTTTATATATATTTTTTAAGTATAGTTATTGGTTAAACTTTCGTACTTTACTCTACAGACGCAAAACTTCTAGTTTTAATATTATATGAAGCTTTAACTAGTAACTATACTTAAAATATACATACAGTTTGTTTCAAATGGAATATAAAATTTTGCAGAGCCACTCTTAAGTGTCCCAGAATTTTTTGCGTAGACTGTAGTATGAAACAAAATTGTAGATATATTCATTTCACGGTAAAAATTTCGGTCATATTTATTGATATTGAAAATGTTAAATATAAATATGTAATATTTTTCAAATAAAAAATTTGAAAGCTATCAATTGAAAGTGTTGAATTTATTTTGTTTTAATCATTATTCATAGATGCAATAGATGAAATTTATGTAAATCAGTATAAAGATTTTCATTTATTAATGTATAAATTTCTTGATAAATTCAACTGTTGATGACATTTTTTATTCGTATTTTTTTTTTATATTGATAATCCTTTCTCTCGAGGCGTTATTATTGTCAGGTTTTTTTTTATTCGATTCTGTTTGATTAAACAACAATTGAAAATAGACGCATTTCATCAGTCGCGAAACGCAAGACAATACATGGTGGCGAGATGAAACGTTACTAACTGAATAAACCAACCATAAATTAACATGTTAAAGAGCTTTTTAAACAAAAAAAAAAACAAGAATTTATTTCTATTTTGAATAGAAAAGAAAGTAATGTGAGAAACATTTTTTTTTAAAAATTTGTTGATAATGTGTCCTTGAAGAAACAGTTACGTTTTCTTTGTTATTATTCCTTTTAATATAACAATAATTAGATGAATGAAGTTGTTTTTTTTTCTTGTATTTAAAAAAAAAACATTTAATACTTAAAATTTAGAAATGATGATGTATTATTAAGTTGAGAAGATTCGATTTTATGATTGTTTATTCTCTATTGCAGACATTTTTCGGAAGAAAAACAATTTTATATTAATCAAGCATTTATTTCTCTTGCATTTTTCCTCCCAAATAATAAAGATTTTATGCACAGAATTAAATTGTTAATTTACCGTATGTCATTATAGACACTGTGAGCATACTTTTTTTTGTTTGATAAGGAAAATAAAAAATCTTTTTTGATTTTTGACATATTCTTCATATTATATTTGTTTTTGTTTTTGTTTTTTAGTAAGGTGATTGATTTATTAAATAAATTTTCTTCTTAAATTCAACATGTCACAAGCAAGTGTTGATTTCGTCATGAATAGACAAAAACATTTACCTCATTATCAACAAACTATTCAAAATGATATATTAGCATGGCTCGATACAATTCCTTTATCTCGAGCAGCACATAATTTAGAAGTAGACTTTGCTGATGGAATATTAATTGCTGAAATAGTTGCTTATTTTTTTCCTGAATATGTTGATTTAGAAATGTTTCATATCGCTCGAAATATGTCACAACGTGCTAAAAATTGGCGTTTATTAAATTCTGATATTTTACCTAAAATAAGTTTACATGCACCTGGTACTCTTGTATATGATATAACAAATGGAGACCGGCGTGCTGTTGAATTATTTCTTCTTCATTTACGTGAAAAAATTGAAGAACATTTAATTCATACAGGAAGAAAATCACGTTTACAATGGGAAACATGGCGTTCATTTAATGTTGAACGTCATCGTTTACCACAATTATTAGCAGGATCGCGTGTACCACGACGAACTACTTTTGTACCTGGATATGGATCTCGTTCACGAAATGAAAGAATAATGAATCCATATACAGTTGCTTTTGATGATGTTTTAAGAGTTAAAGATGAAGAAATTGAAGTTTTACGTGGAAAATTAAAACGTTGTGAAAAAATTATTCGTGCAAAAGATAAACGAATACAAGAATTAGAAGAAAAAATTGAAAGAATGAAACCAAAACGACCTTCACCATAAAACTTTATTATAATAAAAAAAAAAAAAAGAAAAACTTAAAAAATTTTTTTCCTATATTTTTGTATATATACTCTAAGTTGGAAATTATTTTTATCAAATCAGTAAATACTATTTTCTTTTCGACTTTCTCAAAAAAAAAGCATATCTTTATGTCGCAGATTTATTTTTATTACAAATACGTTTTCTTCCAAAGATAATTATCAAATTGTTAAAAATTCAGCTATGATGATAAAAGTTTTATCTTTGAATATTTGACTAAATCATATCTATGCAGTTTGTTCTCAAACAATAATCTAAAATTTAAATACCGTTTATTTCAGTAAATTATATATCTGTTTTAGTGTTCACATCTGTATGTTTTATTTTACAATATAAAATTATGAATTATTTTTCTGATATGTTATAAACTATGTACAGGGCGCATAAAAATATTTTTCCAGGGATAACGCTGTGGTTTCAAATAACGTCAATAATGAATTTCATATCAAATTAAAGCGTGTCAAAAATGGAATTTCACCAATATAAAATAGTAGAATTTATGATAACTTTTCTATGTCGAATTCAAGAAATTCTTTAAATTTTACGCCATGTCAGCAGAGAAAAAATACCTTTCATGAGATGTTTTGACCAACATGGAAACAAATATTCACCTATTTTAAATTGTTTTATGTTCATATTCATTTCATGTTCATGCTGTAAACATGCTAGTGGCTATCATACTGATTATTGATTATATTCATAAATTTTTAAAAAATAAATATTAATTTTTTGATATTCATCACTTTCTATGAGCTCTAGTTTGAACTATCTCATGAAAAGAATTCTCTGCTAACATGGCGTAAAATTTTAGGAATTTTTTGTATTCGATATTGAAAAGTTGCCATAAACCCTACTATCAAGTATTGGTGAATTCCATTTTCGATGCGCTTAAATTTGGTCTAAAACTTATTATTGATGTTATTTGAAATCATAGTGTTACTCCCTCCGTTCTAGAAAAATATTTTTATATATTCTGTACTATTGCCACCGTTTTATGATTACTCATTCACCTCTGTGATATAATTCATACAAACGAAAAAATTCAAATGGCAGAAATTTTTAAATAATTTTATAAGGTGAGAAGATGAAAAAAGATAATAATGGATTCACAGACTAATTGTATTTTGTTTTCATATCTCATTGAATCAACGGACACAAAAATCTTCAAGACAAACTTCTATATAATTGTTCAAAACACAAATACAATAATATAGAAAGATTGATCAATAATAGATTTTGAATTTGAAATAAGCAAATATGCCGACTGAATCAGCTTCTGTTTGCAATTATTATGAGTTAATTGTATTCTTATGAAATGATGCAACATATTAATATTTCGTGAGGTTTTACTTCGTATTACTTTAATAGTGCACTATAACCTTTTTTTTCTTTCTTACAATCTTATTATAGCTTTGTATGATTGATTATTTCAACGTACCGTAGAATTTTATATTCTTCTGAAAGAAATTTTCCAAAAAGATTCTTGAAAACTTATCTTTATAAACAAATGTTATCAAATGACTATCTAAAGCAAAATACAGTAAACGAGAGTCTACTAATCGCTGGGTATTTGTGAAATAGTCCAATGTTGTAAAACCTAATTCATCTATTAAAACATTACTGTTTTGGTGCAACGTTACAACAAACGAAACGCTGATGAGTTACTTTTTATATATTTATCAATTTTTTCAAACTTCCGTACCTTATATTTGATTTATTACATGAAAACGTATTTGATAAAATTCAATAAAATACCTTTTATAAAATTATATTGGTCACTTTTACTTTTCTTTTGCTTGTGAGATAAATATAAATAATATTTAATTAGTGAGTAAATAGAAATTTTACATGTTTAAGAAAAAGTTCTCTAATATCTTCTTGCTTTTTTCTGCCTCATGAAAAAATCTTTTCATTTTTTTTTGTTTTGTAACAAAACATCTTCTAATTGACGATTAATTCTTCAAGAAATTTATGTTTTCAAAAATATTTTCTTTATCAATTATCTGTATCATCGAACTTGTTTATCAAATATCAGAAGATCTAAATTCCACATTCCGAATTCTGAAGACAAAAGAAATCTCTTATAATAATCTTGAAAATAGCGAACAAATCAATAGATAAAAATTCTTACAAAAAGAATGAATACATACAGTAGAGTGCAAAAATAATTGCCGATAGACTTTTCAAAGTTCTTCTCAGAGAAGTATCAGATATTATGATTTATCAATGTTGTTGTACTACCCAGATACTGTACTATACAAATATATTAATCATTAAAACTTTCGCATTCTCTATGAGTTTAAAGAAGATAATTATCTTACGTTCTTGGAAAGAATAAAAAAAATTACAAGTTACGCATCAATTTTAATCCAGTTGTCGGGTCAGAATCTTTTTGATTCATCAATATCTTAAAGTTTTTCATTCATATCAATTGATTGAATGGTCTGGAAGAATAATTTAACTAGATTCAGACTTGTGCTATTAAGTAGCCAAACGATAATTTTACCTATTTAGGGCTGGTCGATCCTATTGTTAGCCGTATTATAACACAGTGTTACGCTCCTCAATCTTGAAAATTTTATCATAACTAATGTGAATAAGGATCATCGTTATACAGTAGTTTCAAACTTCTTCTCGATAATCATTACTTCAATTATGTAATATGATTTATTGGTCAGATCAGATGCACGTAATGCTTGAATTATAAGTCATTTTTGGGCAAATGCATAACAGTTTTCGAGCAATTGCCGTCTCATTGAATGCACCAATGCAGTACCTAATACTTGCACATAACTCGAGAAAAATCGCTCGAAGAACGTACGAAACAGTTTAAAAGAAAGTCAATACACTAAACGGCAATTTTTTTTGCACTCCACTGTATGTAATGGAGAAGGTCGTCGATGCCTCAAAATTAGAATATACATCGTGGAGGAGGACAATAATGACTAAGATTAAAGGCTACATCGAAGAGGATAGTGGTTAAGGACAGAAAGAAAAAACAAGAAGCATACGTAAGAAAAGAGAAAATTAATTAGACAAATGATAAGCGTGACTGGAAAGAATCATCATTTGGAAGTCTACAATCAAAAGATCGGATATTCATGTGACCCTCAATTTGTCTGCTTCGCTCTCTTAAGATCCATTAATCGATGAACAGAGCGAGACAAAACCAATATAGTATAGATTAGTTTTTTCCCAATTTTCTAAGCGCACATTCATGATCGAATAGAAAATAATTAACCACACTACAGTCTGCTATTGTCTTTTTATTCGTATTAGCGTGGTTTTTTAAGACGAAAATGAAGAATCCAGGTTTTAGAATCGAAATCTGCAGGAAACATCATTTATCAGTAAGTATATTGTCACAAGTCATTCATCAAAAACAGTTTGAATAATCGCCTTGTACTTGTTCAGATTCCGAAATCAATATTATATGTCCAGAAAACGGATCGCTGTTCGTCGTTGAGACCATTGACCAAGGTTTTTTAACACGTCAACAAACACAAATAGTTCGGTTACATGTAAAAACTGCACATTCGTACTAATTTGAGAATTTTATTAACGGAATGTTTAAAAACAGTATATGCAACTAACCATCAAAAGCGAGTATCGTCAGTCGACGGTTACTGACTCAGTATACATACCTCATACGATCCGTGCACGACCATTCTGCCTCATATTATACAGCTTAGTACTATGATCGTATATCTTCGTGAACACTCTGAAACACATTTCGTTTAGTAGAAAACCCAAAAAGCAAGGTTTTCTGGAATATCTTTATGCCGGAAAAGTGTCAGAGATTGTTTCGAACACCCTTCTGACACAAAAAATGTTCGGAAAACCTCGTTTTTAGGCTTTATACAACATGGAATAGTTCTAGAGGAAATAGTCATTGAGATATGTAGAGGTTGTATATGAAGCATTTACTGTCATTAACTATCGTGTTATTTTTCTGGTGTATACAACTGTCATGTTTTCATCACATACCTCAATCATACAATCGTTTCTCGTATCTATTGCCTTTCCTGCCATTACGCAAACCGATTGAAAACGGATTTTAGGTATATAATGAAATTAAACAATAAAAACAAGCCGAATGTTGGTTAAATGGATTTTCTGAAGCGATCCAAACTAATTGAGTTAACATTGAATTAACAAACATACTCATCGTTCATGGAATGCATCCGCTTAGTTAAAATTAAAATACATATTGTTGATTGAATCTGTTCACTTAAATGAACTAAAACAAATAACAATATTCACTGTTCGTTGACTTTTTCCACATAAATCATCTTCTATGTATGTCTTGACTTTGTGTTTTTTTTGTATTCTACCTTCAATATTTTATCAATATAATTTATTACAACACTATATCAACATCTATAGTTTAGCTTTTCTAATATAGATTCAGCACTCTTGTCAATCATGATCACTATATTAGCTGAGAGTTGTATCATAGATAAATGCTGCATACTTGCTGTTTGAACTGTGCGATCTAAGTGCATAAGTATATTTGAGAAATAAGAAATATGTAAAGAAAGAATCAGAAGAAATCAAAGATAGTTGCAAGAAGCAGTATATATGTGCCTATAGCAAATATATTGATTCCCTCTTCATCTTCTCCAATTGTGCTCACTTGTTTGCGTTACAAGTTTCGCAAGTTGAAGTCGCTCTAGGTCTTGAGTTCCTAGGAACGGAAAACCACAACGGATTTCGAATTCCTGAGAAAGGAACCAGAAACTAGCATATCACGTTGTGTGATGCAGGTCTGGGTTTCGAAGTAGGTTTAGGCTTTGGGGTGTAATTGTGGGTAGTAGAGTTTCCGCTTCTTCATTCCATTTCAACATCCACATCGAAATCCTACAGCTAGAAACGCAGTATAGTTAATGAAATCTTAGCAAATGCATTAACTTAACATAGAAAAAAAGAAAATCCTTTTTTCGCGGAAATGCCGCGCAACCCAATGCTCACTTTTTCATACGTTTTCAACTTTCATCTCTTAGAATATATGAGATCTTCTTTATATGCGAAAGAAAGCGACACGCAGAGAAAAAGTCACAGTGATGAATAAGCTAGTAGCACCGAAAGAAAACTCTGCTGATTTTTTCCAACTGTGTTGACTATCTCCAAGTGCATTCAGATATACAAGTATAAAAAATTAGAAGGTTTTTATTACACTTTGATGTTGTTATGTCACGCCATTGATGATGATTGTGACAGAAAAAGCGTTTCTCAACAAATGCCATGAATTCTTTCAAGTACAGAATTTATCTATTTCGAAAACCATATATTCAGTTTATAAAGTATGTAGAAAACTATTATAGCAGACTTTGACGAGTACACACAATCATTATTTTGTGCTCCATTGTAAGAAAATCTCTTTTCTTTCAAAATATTTATCAAATCATAATGTGAAATCTACGATTTAACTGTATATTACAGCAGAATCATTATATCTAGAAAAACAAAACATTTGTGCTTGATATTGAGCTCATTTCTTATAAGGATTAAAGAAGAATCGGAATACAAATGATCATTTCTGTCTGATAGTTTTCGAACCGTAGATACCTTAATATACTTGATTTCAAAACTTTAAACGATTATGTGTCCAAATACACAACATTTCAATATTGTCATAATGAAGTTGTTTCGCTTTGGTCACTCGAAACAAGTCTTAATATGTTTTTTCATTTTATTAAACACTAAAAGCAATACATATTAAGCTGTCACAAGACTTCGAAGAAAAAATCATAAATTTCCAGTTACAAGCATTTCAATAGATTTCAAAGACAACATACAACATAGAAACATAGAAAGCGACAATATATGAGACCTTTAAGGAGCAAACTATATCAATATATTACCGTTATACAACAAAGAAATATTAGATTCCACCATAGAAAACATTGAGAATGACACAATGTTTTCAAGTATTGGTCATACTTTTTGCTATATTGAACGCCTATGTTGCAGTAGCAGTTTGTGTTTGCAGTGTAACTATTCGATTGTCTTTCTTACATGTAATCATTGCAAAAAATTCTTGTCGAAACTCATTAAACGTAATCATATACAATGGAAATGATAGCGTATGATAACTAAAGAGAAAGCCATCGAAGAATCTTAAAAGAGTAATATCTGCTGAGAGGAAAAATGCAAAGCCAACAGTAGCTGGGATAGTCATAATTAGGAACATAAATGTTGTTATGACCAATGTAATTGAAATAGATTGGTGTTGTATGCGTGAATTTTGAACAGTACTTGTATGACGAAGACGAATCAAATGATAAATCGCACCACTATTGAATATAATCATGAATACAAATGGTGCACAATTGTACAATCCTAAATTAATATAATCCCACAGTGGATAGACACTATACAGCCAAGAGTAAAGAGTAATTGTACCGTCTTCTCTATAGTAACAAACAAAAAGAAAAAAATGAAAATTGAGCAGCAGAAGGATGATCAGAATGCATGCAATGATGATAAGAATATTTTTTGAATGACCAAACCATGTTCGATGAAGACGACTTAGTGATAAATACCGATCCAAACAAACAAAGACACGAAGCCAAGCTGATGATTGAGCAGCAAAATAATTAAGAAAGGAATAAAACCTGCATAGAGGTATATTTAATCCCTGAAGATCAATTCCATGCATGGTAGCAAGATAATGACCGAGATTCCATCCATATAACATAAGAATATCAAAAATAGCCATCGCTCTCATATAATGAAGTGTTGGTCTTGTTCTTGTGTTTCTGAATGTTGATCGACAAAGAACAATAAATGTTATAGCATTTAATAAAGTGCCAACAATGACTAGAGTTAATGAATAGTACGCAGCAATCTCAGCTGCTCTTGATGGTCCATCTGTTGCTTTTGATGTTATATTATCATCCGACATTATGTGATTAATTGTTAATCGTTAAAAATTTTTTCTTACAGAAACGAATAGATCTAAGAAGAAAAGCTAATTAACAAAGGTATATATTCTTCTTCTGTTTAATCATATATAGTCCTGTTGAAGTGACTGCTAAAATCGTGTTTGTCTGACTTCAGGATGGTAACATATCGTCAGTATCAAGTCTATATTTTCTTCAAATGACAATACTGATTTCAGAAAATCATGCTTTAATTTCGGATAATATAACTATGAATATTTCCGTGAAACCTTGAGTTGTGAATGTTAACGATAAACGGCTGATCCAGTCCAGTCCAATAGAGAATTTATCATCAGTCGACTTAGATAACTTTCAAGGAAATCTAAGATAGTGACTAAGCATGTCTCTATGGTGATGCATCGCAATTCACATGAAAAGACTTTTATAAATAATCTATAGTTCTATGAAGTTTTCTGTCCATCGATAGATGTAAATACAAAGAAAACTTATGGAAATAAATGGTAAAAAGTGCAGTTATAATGAAAGAAGATCCTTATGTCGTCGTTGTAGTGCCTACGCCGCAGTGGGCAACAATCTGATCGGTGAGATAAATGAAAATTTTAAGCAGAATTCAATCGTTCAGGTCAAAAATGCGAGTTTCATACCAAGAGAAATATCACAGCACTATCGGGATAAGACACCTATTCATGATACATACCGATTTGCAGATGAATGAATGAATAAATATACATACATAAACATACTTTCCATTTGGAAAAATAAAAATCCAGGGAAAAAAATCCATGAATGAAGCGGGAAAATGGTTTCTGTCAGTGAGAGTAATGCTATATGACAGCAGAAAAATGCTTTTCAACTATCAATATTTAAATCTACACATATGTTCCACATGGGAAAATACAAACCTAGCGGAAAATGCGCGAGGACAG